CACCAAACACACTTAAAGCATGCAGAATCGACTCAGAATAGGAAAAGGAGACGTTTATGTCAATTTTATGCATTCTGGCGTTCGTAGATACAAGAAAACTGTTAAAATTCTTCAGAAACGTCACTTTTGAAGTGTTTTCTTGTACTTTTAAGCCACTCAGATACCCTACGGGCTCGGAAAGTGCAACAAAACCATCAAATTTTAGCTAGAAACTGTATTTTTGTCGATTTTTATTGAATTTGAACTATATTTCAACGTTTTTTGATGGTTCTGAGCCACCAAACACACTTAAAGCATGCAGAATCGACTCAGAATAGGAAAAGGAGACGTTTAGGTCAATTTTATGCATTCTGGCGTTCGTAGATACAAGAAAACTGTTAAAATTCTTCAGAAACGTCACTTTTGAAGTGTTTTCTTGTACTTTTAAGCCACTCAGATACCCTACGGGCTCGGAAAGTGCAACGAAACCATCAAATTTTAGCTAGAAACTGTATTTTTGTCGATTTTTATTGAATTTGAACTATATTTCAACGTTTTTTGATGGTTCTGAGCCACCAAACACACTTAAAGCATGAAGAATCGACTCAGAATAGGAAAAGGAGACGTTTAGGTCAATTTTATGCATTCTGGCGTTCGTAGATACAAGAAAACTGTTAAAATTCTTCAGAAACGTCACTTTTGAAGTGTTTTCTTGTACTTTTAAGCCACTCAGATACCCTACGGGCTCGGAAAGTGCAACGAAACCATCAAATTTTAGCTAGAAACTGTATTTTTGTCGATTTTTATTGAATTTGAACTATATTTCAACGTTTTTTGATGGTTCTGAGCCACCAAACACACTTAAAGCATGCAGAATCGACTCAGAATAGGAAAAGGAGACGTTTAGGTCAATTTTATGCATTCTGGCGTTCGTAGATACAAGAAAACTGTTAAAATTCTTCAGAAACGTCACTTTTGAAGTGTTTTCTTGTACTTTTAAGCCACTCAGATACCCTACGGGCTCGGAAAGTGCAACGAAACCATCAAATTTTAGCTAGAAACTGTATTTTTGTCGATTTTTATTGAATTTGAACTATATTTCAACGTGTTTTGATGGTTCTGAGCCACCAAACACACTTAAAGCATGCAGAATCGACTCAGAATAGGAAAAGGAGACGTTTAGGTCAATTTTATGCATTCTGGCGTTCGTAGATACAAGAAAACTGTTAAAATTCTTCAGAAACGTCACTTTTGAAGTGTTTTCTTGTACTTTTAAGCCACTCAGATACCCGACGGGCTCGGAAAGTGCAACGAAACCATCAAATTTTAGCTAGAAACTGTATTTTTGTCGATTTTTATTGAATTTGAACTATATTTCAACGTTTTTTGATGGTTCTGAGCCACCAAACACACTTAAAGCATGCAGAATCGACTCAGAATAGGAAAAGGAGACGTTTAGGTCAATTTTATGCATTCTGGCGTTCGTAGATACAAGAAAACTGTTAAAATTCTTCAGAAACGTCACTTTTGAAGTGTTTTCTTGTACTTTTAAGCCACTCAGATACCCTACGGGCTCGGAAAGTGCAACGAAACCATCAAATTTTAGCTAGAAACTGTATTTTTGTCGATTTTTATTGAATTTGAACTATATTTCAACGTTTTTTTATGGTTCTGAGCCACCAAACACACTTAAAGCATGCAGAATCGACTCAGAATAGGAAAAGGAGACGTTTAGGTCAATTTTATGCATTCTGGCGTTCGTAGATACAAGAAAACTGTTAAAATTCTTCAGAAACATCACTTTTGAAGTGTTTTCTTGTACTTTTAAGCCACTCAGATACCCTACGGGCTCGGAAAGTGCAACGAAACCATCAAATTTTAGCTAGAAACTGTATTTTTGTCGATTTTTATTGAATTTGAACTATATTTCAACGTTTTTTGATGGTTCTGAGCCACCAAACACACTTAAAGCATGCAGAATCGACTCAGAATAGGAAAAGGAGACGTTTAGGTCAATTTTATGCATTCTGGCGTTCGTAGATACAAGAAAACTGTTAAAATTCTTCAGAAACGTCACTTTTGAAGTGTTTTCTTGTAATTTTAAGCCACTCAGATACCCTACGGGCTCGGAAAGTGCAACGAAACCATCAAATTTTAGCTAGAAACTGTATTTTTGTCGATTTTTATTGAATTTGAACTATATTTCAACGTTTTTTGATGGTTCTGAGCCACCAAACACACTTAAAGCATGCAGAATCGACTCAGAATAGGAAAAGGAGACGTTTAGGTCAATTTTATGCATTCTGGCGTTCGTAGATACAAGAAAACTGTTAAAATTCTTCAGAAACGTCACTTTTGAAGTGTTTTCTTGTAATTTTAAGCCACTCAGATACCCTACGGGCTCGGAAAGTGCAACGAAACCATCAAATTTTAGCTAGAAACTGTATTTTTGTCGATTTTTATTGAATTTGAACTATATTTCAACGTTTTTTGATGGTTCTGAGCCACCAAACACACTTAAAGCATGCAGAATCGACTCAGAATAGGAAAAGGAGACGTTTAGGTCAATTTTATGCATTCTGGCGTTCGTAGATACAAGAAAACTGTTAAAATTCTTCAGAAACGTCACTTTTGAAGTGTTTTCTTGTACTTTTAAGCCACTCAGATACCCTACGGGCTCGGAAAGTGCAACGAAACCATCAAATTTTAGCTAGAAACTGTATTTTTGTCGATTTTTATTGAATTTGAACTATATTTCAACGTTTTTTGATGGTTCTGAGCCACCAAACACACTTAAAGCATGCAGAATCGACTCAGAATAGGAAAAGGAGACGTTTAGGTCAATTTTATGCATTCTGGCGTTCGTAGATACAAGAAAACTGTTAAAATTCTTCAGAAACGTCACTTTTGAAGTGTTTTCTTGTACTTTTAAGCCACTCAGATACCCTACGGGCTCGGAAAGTGCAACGAAACCATCAAATTTTAGCTAGAAACTGTATTTTTGTCGATTTTTATTGAATTTGAACTATATTTCAACGTTTTTTGATGGTTCTGAGCCACCAAACACACTTAAAGCATGCAGAATCGACTCAGAATAGGAAAAGGAGACGTTTAGGTCAATTTTATGCATTCTGGCGTTCGTAGATACAAGAAAACTGTTAAAATTCTTCAGAAACGTCACTTTTGAAGTGTTTTCTTGTACTTTTAAGCCACTCAGATACCCTACGGGCTCGGAAAGTGCAACGAAACCATCAAATTTTAGCTAGAAACTGTATTTTTGTCGATTTTTATTGAATTTGAACTATATTTCAACGTTTTTTGATGGTTCTGAGCCACCAAACACACTTAAAGCATGCAGAATCGACTCAGAATAGGAAAAGGAGACGTTTAGGTCAATTTTATGCATTCTGGCGTTCGTAGATACAAGAAAACTGTTAAAATTCTTCAGAAACGTCACTTTTGAAGTGTTTTCTTGTACTTTTAAGGCACTCAGATACCCTACGGGCTCGGAAAGTGCAACGAAACCATCAAATTTTAGCTAGAAACTGTATTTTTGTCGATTTTTATTGAATTTGAACTATATTTCAACGTTTTTTGATGGTTCTGAGCCACCAAACACACTTAAAGCTTGCAGAATCGACTCAGAATAGGAAAAGGAGACGTTTAGGTCAATTTTATGCATTCTGGCGTTCGTAGATACAAGAAAACTGTTAAAATTCTTCAGAAACGTCACTTTTGAAGTGTTTTCTTGTACTTTTAAGCCACTCAGATACCCTACGGGCTCGGAAAGTGCAACGAAACCATCAAATTTTAGCTAGAAACTGTATTTTTGTCGATTTTTATTGAATTTGAACTATATTTCAACGTTTTTTGATGGTTCTGAGCCACCAAACACACTTAAAGCATGCAGAATCGACTCAGAATAGGAAAAGGAGACGTTTAGGTCAATTTTATGCATTCTGGCGTTCGTAGATACAAGAAAACTGTTAAAATTCTTCAGAAACGTCACTTTTGAAGTGTTTTCTTGTACTTTTAAGCCACTCAGATACCCTACGGGCTCGGAAAGTGTAACGAAACCATCAAATTTTAGCTAGAAACTGTATTTTTGTCGATTTTTATTGAATTTGAACTATATTTCAACGTTTTTTGATGGTTCTGAGCCACCAAACACACTTAAAGCATGCAGAATCGACTCAGAATAGGAAAAGGAGACGTTTAGGTCAATTTTATGCATTCTGGCGTTCGTAGATACAAGAAAACTGTTAAAATTCTTCAGAAACGTCACTTTTGAAGTGTTTTCTTGTACTTTTAAGCCACTCAGATACCCAACGGGCTCGGAAAGTGCAACGAAACCATCAAATTTTAGCTAGAAACTGTATTTTTGTCGATTTTTATTGAATTTGAACTATATTTCAACGTTTTTTGATGGTTCTGAGCCACCAAACACACTTAAAGCATGCAGAATCGACTCAGAATAGGAAAAGGAGACGTTTAGGTCAATTTTATGCATTCTGGCGTTCGTAGATACAAGAAAACTGTTAAAATTCTTCAGAAACGTCACTTTTGAAGTGTTTTCTTGTACTTTTAAGCCACTCAGATACCCTACGGGCTCGGAAAGTGCAACGAAACCATCAAATTTTAGCTAGAAACTGTATTTTTGTCGATTTTTATTGAATTTGAACTATATTTCAACGTTTTTTGATGGTTCTGAGCCACCAAACACACTTAAAGCATGCAGAATCGACTCAGAATAGGAAAAGGAGACGTTTAGGACAATTTTATGCATTCTGGCGTTCGTAGATACAAGAAAACTGTTAAAATTCTTCAGAAACGTCACTTTTGAAGTGTTTTCTTGTACTTTTAAGCCACTCAGATACCCTACGGGCTCGGAAAGTGCAACGAAACCATCAAATTTTAGCTAGAAACTGTATTTTTGTCGATTTTTATTGAATTTGAACTATATTTCAACGTTTTTTGATGGTTCTGAGCCACCAAACACACTTAAAGCATGCAGAATCGACTCAGAATAGGATAATTGATCCGATAGAAGAAACAATATTTCATATGGTATAAGCATCAGGATAGTCCGAGTATCGACGGGGTATACCTCTTAATCCTAGGAAGTGTTGAGGAAAGAATGTAATGTTGACTCCTACAAATATAGTAATAAATTGAATTTTGCATAGCTTAGGATTTAAGGTAGTTCCTGTGAATAAAGGAAATCAGTGAACTAATCCTCCTATAATTGCAAATACTGCCCCCATAGAAAGAACATAGTGGAAATGGGCTACAACGTAATATGTATCATGAAGTATAATATCAATAGATGAGTTAGCTAGTACTACTCCAGTTAGTCCCCCCACTGTAAATAAAAATACGAATCCTAGAGCTCATAATATTGAGGGAGAGTAATTAAGTTGTGTGCCATGTAGAGTCGCTAATCAACTAAAAATTTTAATTCCTGTAGGAACAGCAATGATTATAGTAGCTGATGTGAAATAGGCTCGAGTGTCAACGTCTATTCCGACTGTAAATATGTGATGAGCTCAAACTACGAATCCTAAAAGACCAATTGCTATTATGGCATAAATTATTCCCAGAGTACCAAAAGCTTCCTTTTTTCCTCTTTCTTGTCTAATAATGTGGGAAATTATTCCGAATCCTGGTAGAATTAGAATATAAACTTCAGGGTGTCCGAAAAATCAAAATAGATGTTGGTATAAAATGGGATCTCCTCCTCCTGCTGGATCAAAGAAAGATGTATTGATGTTTCGGTCAGTAAGAAGTATAGTAATGGCACCTGCTAGTACTGGAAGTGAAAGAAGAAGAAGAACTGCGGTAATTACAACAGCTCAGACAAATAGGGGTATTCGATCAAAAGTTATTCCTTGTGGTCGTATATTAATAACTGTGGTAATGAAATTAGCGGCTCCTAAAATGGAAGAAATACCTGCTAAATGGAGACTAAAAATTGCGAGATCGACTGATGCCCCTCCATGAGCGATATTGGATGATAATGGGGGATAAACTGTTCATCCAGTTCCTGCTCCTCTTTCTACGATTCTTCTTATTAGAAGTAAAGTTAACGATGGGGGGAGAAGCCAGAATCTTATATTGTTTATTCGTGGGAATGCTATATCAGGGGCTCCTAGTATCAGGGGAACAAGTCAATTTCCGAATCCTCCAATTATAATAGGCATTACTATGAAAAAAATTATAATGAACGCATGGGCTGTGACAATTACGTTATAAATTTGGTCGTCACCAATTAGAGATCCTGGGTTTCCTAGTTCTGCTCGAATTAGGAGTCTAAGAGAGGTTCCGACTATACCGGATCATGCACCAAAAATGAAGTAAAGTGTTCCAATATCTTTGTGGTTGGTAGAAAATAATCATTTATTCGGTAATATGGCTGAGATTAAGCGATAAATTGTAAATTTATTTACGGGTTTAGACTCTGTTACCAGTTTAAGAATAGAATTTAAACCCGTAAATAAATTTACAATTTTTTTGAAAGGTTTATGTTTCTGTTGTTTAAACTTATTTAAAAATAAAACGTAATAATAACCGTATTTAGATATAATTCCTATTCTATAAAGCTTTTATTACATAAAGCTAGTAGTTTTTTTTTTTTCGTTTTGGTTTAATAGTCAATAATGATTTTAAATTGCAAATTTAAAGGTAAGTAATTTTTTAAACTTGAGTGCCAAGGCTTAGAATGTTTATTCTATTGGTAACTTTGAAGGTTACAAGTTTAATTTAACTTAAATCCTTATAAGATATTAATGATAAGGGTTGATAAGATTAAACTAAGTAGAGTAATGATATTGATTGTTATCAGGTTTTTGTTGTTGAATTTAATTGAAGATGTTTTTGGTTCGTTGATGCTAATGATTATGGAAGATATTATTACTCGAATGTAAATGAATAATATGATTAGGGTAGTGACGATTATTAGGATAGTAAGAAGAATGAAGTTGTTTTCAGTTATTCAGTTGATTACAATTCATTTAGGAAGAAAACCAATAAAGGGAGGTAATCCTCCAAGAGACATAAAATTTATTATGATTGAGAATTTGGTTATTTTTCTATTGTTTATGATGTTGATAATTTGATTTAAGTAAAAAGATTTAGTTGTAGCGAATACTGTAATGATGTTAATATTTATGATTGAGTAAATGATGAAGTAAACTGATCATGTGGCTAGCGATATTATTGATGTAGATAATATTCATGCGATATGATTAATTGAGGAAAATGCAAGAATTTTACGTAGACTAATTTGATTGAACCCTCTAATTGTTCTTGTTAAAAGTCTGATGATAATGATTGAAACAAGGAAAAGTTCATTTAGATTAATATTTATAATTAATATTATTGGGGCAATTTTTTGTCAAGTTAGCAGAATTAAGGAATTGGTTCAATTTAAACCTTCAATTACTTCGGGAAATCAGAAATGGAATGGGGCAGCTCCTAATTTTGTTATTAATGCAGTTGTAATTATTATTGAAAAATAAAAATTTATTAGGGGGTTAATAAATTCTTGAGTTGTCAATGTTATTATAACTGCTATTAGTAGAATTAAGGATGCTATTGCCTGTGTAATAAAATATTTTATTGATGATTCTGAGGAAAATATGTTTTTTCTGTCTGAAAATAGTGGGATTACTGAGAGTAGATTAATTTCTAGTCCTATCCATATTCTTAATCATGAGTATGATGAAATTGCAATGAGAGTTCCTATGATTATGGAATTAATAAATACAATTTTATAAATTTTAATTAAAAAGGGAAAGGTTTTACTTTCATTGACAGGGTATGAACCTATAAGCTTACTTAGCTTACCTTTTTATATCTTAGTATAAGACGTATAAGGGTTTTTGATGCTCTAGGAAATAGTTTGATTCTATTAGATATAATGAAGGTATTTTTATACATAATTTATTCTATCAAAATAATCCTTTTATCAGGCACTTCATTGTTAAAACTTTATGTATAAAAAAAAAAGTTCAAGGGAGGAGTTAATTGAGGTGAATTTTTGGTTTTGTTATTATAAAATTGTTAAAAAAAAAAAATGTAATTTAAACGTTTTTTTTTTTCGGGGTCATTTTTCCTGATTTTATATTAACTAGGGCATTACTATGATAATTCAGAAATTTTTTAAAAAAGTTTTGTTCAAGGGTGCTCAAATAATTAAAACTTATTAAATAGTAGAGAAGAGTATACAGTAATATATACATGACGTAAACTGATTAATATAATGAAAGTATATCTGTATGTAGGTGTATTTAATTATTATATAATACCAATTTATATACTATTCTTATTTAATAATAAAGACTCTAAAAAAAGAGAGAGAAATTTAATAAAAATTAAATATTATCATTAGATACTTATATTATTATATAATAAATTATTTATATATATATAATTCAATTATAGAATAGTATCTTTAATAATAATAAATTTATCTAATGTTAATTGGATACTCATAAATTATTTATATAAAAAAAAAAACTACTAGCTTTATATAATAAAAGCTTTATAGAATAGGAATTATATCTAAATACGGTTATTATTACGTTTTATTTTTAAATAAGTAATTATAAATATAGAGTTAGAAATTTGTTGTTTATAATTAAATAATTAAAGGGGGCGTGAAAAAAGTCTAGGGAGATAGTTCATTTAGGGTTAGGTTTGGGCGGCGTGTAGAAAAAGTTTTATTTTGGCTTAGGGTTTTTCTTGAGGATTGATATATATATAAGTTTTAGCTTAAATTGGTTTTAGATAGAAATTTGAGTTTAATTGGTAGTATATAATTTTAAATTTTCATTATTTTGAGATTTAGCAATTGTTCTTAACATAAACAAAATTTGTGCCAGCAGTAGCGGTTATACAAATTATGTAAGTAAAACTTTTCGAGATTAGTTAAAAGTTAATTTTTTGGATTATAATTTTGGTTTTTTAGGTGAAATTTAAAGTTGAATTATTTTCTATATTAGTTTTTGAGGCTGTAAAATTTGTTTGTAGACTAGGATTAGATACCCTATTATTTCATATGTGAATTTTTGTTCTTTGATTATTAGTAGTTATGGTCTTTAAAATTAAAAAATTTGGCGGTATTTTAGTCTGTTCAGAGGAACCTGTTTTTTAATTGATGGTCCACGATAATTTTTACTTTAGTTTTTAATTTGCATATCGTCGTTTATAAAAATTTTAAGAGAATAACAATTTTTATGATTTTTGATTATAAAGTATTTCAGATCAAGGTGTAGTTTATATTAAAGTTAAAATGGGTTACAATGATATAATTTTTGGCTTTTTCATTTAAAATTTAAATTAAATTGGATTTGATAGTAAGTTCTTTATTTATGGGAATTGATTTAGCTCTAAAATATGCACATATCGCCCGTCGCTTTCATTTTAAAGTGAAATAAGTCGTAACAAAGTAGGCTTATTGGAAAATGAGCCTGGAATGAACAAATTAGAGCTTGAGAGAAGCGTTTTATTTACACTAAAAAGTTAATTGTGAAATTCAATTTAATTTGAGTTTAGGGTGTTGTTTATTTTATTGTTGTTAAATTTTTATTGGAAATATATTAATTTTTATTATTTTTATTAGAAAAAATTTTGTTAACTATAGTTTATTGTATTGTAAGAGATTTTCTTTTAATTTTTATAAGTAGATTTAGTTTATTGTACCTTGTGTATCAGGGTTAATTAATTTAGTATTAAATATTTAGTTTTCCCGAATTTAGAAGAGCTATAAGTTAATTTATTTTGTTGTGGAATAACCATTTATAATTGATTTATAGTAGTGAAATGTTATTCGTTTCTAAATTTATCTGGTTTTTTAGGAAATTAATTTAATTATTTTAATATTAGGAAAATTATTTATTGTTATTTTTTTCTTGTTATTATGTAATGCTTAAGGGGATGAGCTTTTAAGTAAATTTTTATAATTTTTTGTTTAGTAAATCTTATGTAGGATTAGAATTTTTTATCATTAGGAGGATGTTATAATTGAAGATTTATTTTATTTGTTTTATGTTTATTTTAAATTTTTACTAAAATATTGGTTTTAATTTTGTTTGCTGTGTAATAATGATTAAATTAGTATATATTTTGTGTGTGAGTAAATTTGTTTTTTTAGACGATAAAAAGGAACTCGGCAAATAATTGTTTCCACCTGTTTATTAAAAACATGTCTTTTTGTTGTTGATTTAAGGTCAGGCCTGCCCAATGATTATTTAAATGGCCGCAGTACTTTGACTGTGCAAAGGTAGCATAATCATTAGTTTTTTAATTGGAAGCTGGTATGAAAGGTTTGATGAGAAATAGGCTGTCTCTTTGTTGTAATTAGAACTTGATTTTTGAGTAAAAAAGCTTAAATTTTATATAAAGACGAGAAGACCCTATAGAGTTTTATAAATTTAATGAGTATATAATAGGTTTTTAGTTTTTTATTAAATTTATTTTGTTGGGGTGATATAAAAATTAAATTAACTTTTTATTATTTTTACACTAGTTAGTGAGTATTTGATCCTTATTTTTGGATTATAAGATTAAATTACCTTAGGGATAACAGCGTAATTTTTTTTGAAAGTTCTTATTGATAAAAAAGTTTGCGACCTCGATGTTGGATTAAGGTTAATGAGTGGTGTAGCAGCTGCTTAATTAGGTCTGTTCGACCTTTAAAACTTTACATGATCTGAGTTTAGACCGGCGTGAGCCAGGTTAGTTTCTATCTTTTATTATTTTAAAATATTTTAGTACGAAAGGACCATTTATTTAAATTATATTTTTATTTTGAATTCTATTATTATTTTGGCAGATTAGTGCGATAGATTTAGAATCTTTTTATGTAATTTAAATTACAAATAATATTGGTTTTGAAGGATTTATTATTGATTTTAATTTCTTTGGTTTTATTAATTATCTGTGTTTTGGTGGGGGTTGCTTTTCTTACTTTGCTTGAGCGAAAGGTTTTGGGTTATATTCAAATTCGTAAGGGTCCTAATAAGGTTGGTTTTATTGGGTTGTTACAGCCGTTTGCTGATGCAATTAAGTTGTTTACTAAGGAACAAACTTTTCCTGTTATGTCAAATTTTAATATTTATTATTTTTGTCCTGTCGTTAATTTATTTATTTCTCTTTTCTTGTGAATTATGATGCCTTTTTTAAGAGTGTGTTTAAATTTTAATTTATCTTTATTGTTTTTTTTGAGAGTTTCTAGATTAGGAGTTTATAGTATTATAATAGCTGGATGGTCTTCTAATTCTTCTTATTCATTGTTGGGAGGTTTACGTTCTGTTGCTCAAACTATTTCTTATGAGGTGAGGTTGGCTTTAATTATAATATCTTTTATTTTTTTGTCTTTGAGTTTTAATTTGCTTGATTATTATTATGTTCAGAATTATGGTTGATTTATTTTTTTGTGTTTGCCTCTAAGTTTAATATGGCTGATTTCGGGATTGGCTGAAACTAATCGTACTCCTTTTGATTTTGCAGAAGGTGAATCTGAGTTGGTTTCTGGTTTTAATGTCGAGTATAGAAGAGGGGGTTTTGCAATAATTTTTCTTGCTGAATATGCAAGAATTCTTTTTATGAGAATAATTAGAGTTATACTTTTTTTAGGGGGTGATTTAAATTCTTTTATTTTTTTTGTTAAGTTGGTATTTGTATCATTTTTTTGGTTATGAGTTCGTGGAACTCTTCCTCGGTTTCGTTATGATAAGTTGATGTATTTAGCTTGGAAAAGTTTTCTTCCTTGTTCGTTAAATTATTTGTTTTTGTTTTTTGGATTAAAGGTGATGATTTTTGTCCTTTTATTGTAGTTAAAAAAATTTAGTATAAACTAATAGAAAATTTTTGTTTCTCTCATATATTTTCAAAATATATACTTGTTCAAGTTCATTAGTTAATTAATAATTTTGTCTCAAATTTTGAATGTTAAAGGGTTAATAATGTAATATAGAAAGTATAGGACAGTAAGGGTTTGTCCTGTAATAATGTAAGGGTCTTCTACAGGTCGGGCTCCAATTCAAGTTAATAGGATTACTATTGATACTATTGATCAAAAAAGAGTTTTGTTTAAGGGATAGAACTGCCTTCTTGTGAATTTTTTTTTGTTTGTGAAGGGTAGGATGTAAAGGATGGCAATTGATATTGCTAAGGCGATTACTCCTCCTAGTTTGTTAGGAATTGAACGGAGAATTGCATAGGCAAATAAAAAATATCATTCTGGTTGAATATGAACGGGGGTAACAAGGGGGTTAGCTGGTGTGAAATTGTCTGGATCTCCTAATATATAAGGATGAAGAAGTGAAAGTGCAGTAAGAGTTAATAATATAAGAAGAAATCCTATTACGTCCTTGTATGAAAAATAGGGGTGGAAGGGAATTTTGTCAATGTTTCTATTAAGTCCTAGAGGGTTATTGGATCCTGTTTGGTGAAGGAATAAAAGATGAATTATAACTATGGCTGCAATAATAAAGGGTAAAAGGAAGTGGAATGAAAAGAATCGTGTCAAGGTGGCATTGTCTACTGCGAAGCCTCCTCATACTCATTGTACAATAGTAGATCCTAGGTAAGGGATTGCTGATAGAAGATTTGTAATTACGGTTGCCCCTCAAAATGATATTTGTCCTCATGGAAGAACGTATCCCAGGAATGCAGTTGCTATTACTAGGAATAAAATTGTTACTCCTACTATTCAAGTGTGAAGTAGGTTATATGAACCATAATATATTCCTCGTCCAACGTGTATGTAAATACAGATGAAAAAAAAGGACGCTCCGTTAGCGTGAAGTGTTCGTATTAATCATCCTTGATTGACGTCTCGACAAATATGGGCTACTCTATTGAAAGCTATTTCGATATTAGGGCAATAATGTATTGCTAAAAATACACCTGTAATAATTTGAACTCCTAAACAAACTCCTAGTAGGGATCCATAGTTTCACAAAAGGGAAATATTAGAAGGAGTAGGAAGATCGATTAGAGAATTATTTACGATTTTGAAGAGAGGGGAATATTTACGTATTGCTTTTTTCATTAGTTTATTTGACGGATGGATCCTTGTTTGAAATTGGTAATTTTGACTGTGGCAATTAAAGCTAGTAGGAGGTAAAATATTATGAATAATAGAATTATTCTTAATGGAAAATTGATGAATTTATTGATTGTTAATATGAATTCGGTTTTTTGATTAAAAATTAAGAGTTCGTTGTTTGAGATTAATAATTTATTAATATAGGATGTTAGTCAGGCAATAATGGGTAAAGGGGTAATAATTATTAAAATCTTAAGATTTGTTTTAAATTTTTCGTTTGATGCAATTCTTGTTATATATATAAAAAGAATGAGTATCCCACCAATTATAATTAAGAATAGAATGTAAGAAAATCATATATTTTGATTTATGAATCCTGTGGTTAATCTGATTGTAATGGTTTGTAATAATAAAATTGATCCTATTGATAAGGGGTGTTTTATTATAATAAAAATAGAGGTTAGGGTTATGTTTGTTGCGATAAGAATAGATAAAATTTCAAGAAATAGTTTATTAAAATATTAATTTTGGAGATTAAAGATGAATTTATGTTCTTTCTTGATGTTTTTAAAGTTGAACTTATTTTTAGTTTACAAGACTAATATTTTATATTAAATTATAAAAACTAATGATAATTTTTAAGTTTACAAGATTTTTTATGTTTTTGGGGGGTTTACTGGTTTTTTCATTGAAACGAAAGCATTTACTTTTAATATTGTTAAGATTGGAATTTATTATTTTATCCATTTATTTTTTAATATTTTTTTATTTTAGATTTTTAGGTGGGGATTATTTTTTTAGTATGGTTTTTTTAACTTTTAGAGTTTGTGAGGGGGTTTTAGGTTTGTCTGTATTGGTTTCTTTAATTCGTACTCATGGAAACGATTATTTTCAAAGATTTAATGTTTTATGATAAAATTCCTATTTTCATTAGTTTTTATGATTCCTTTATCTTTTTTCTTTGATTTTTGATTGAATCAGGTAGTATGGTTTATTGTTAGTTTATTTTTTTTGTTTGGATTTGTTTCTGTTGGATTATTTTCTAGAGTTTCAGGTGAATTAGGGATTGATTTATTATCTTATGTATTGATTTTGCTTAGTTTTTGAATTTGTAGATTAATGATTATGGCAAGAGAAAAGATTTATCTTAAAAATAATTGATATGGCTTATTTTTATTTGTTGTTTTGATTTTAATAATTTCATTATTTTTGACTTTTGGTTCTTTAAATGTTTTTTTGTTTTATATTTTTTTTGAGGTTAGGCTAATTCCTACATTAATTTTAATTGTGGGATGGGGCTATCAGCCTGAGCGTTTACAGGCTGGGATTTATTTGTTGTTCTATACTCTTTTGGCGTCCTTGCCTATAATGGTTTCTTTGTTTTTTTGTTATGATTGTTTTGGTTCTTTACATTATTATTTTTTTAATGATAATGTTGATAGATTGATTATTTACTTGCTTATTAATTTTGTTTTTTTTATTAAAATTCCCATGTTTTTTGTTCATTTGTGACTACCAAAAGCTCATGTTGAAGCCCCAGTTTCGGGTTCAATGATTTTAGCTGGAATTATACTTAAATTAGGGGGCTATGGTATAATACGACTTATAGTTATTTTTTCTTTAATTGGGATAAAGATTAATTTATTTTTTATTAGTTTGAGATTGGTCGGGGGTTTTTATGTGTCTTTGATTTGTTTACGTCAAAGAGATATGAAATCTTTGATTGCTTACTCTTCTGTTTCTCATATGGGATTAGTGTTGGCTGGAATTATAACTTTGAATTATTGAGGGTTAAGAGGGGCATTAGCTATAATGGTAGCTCATGGTCTTTGTTCTTCTGGTCTTTTTTGTTTGGCTAATATTTGTTATGAACGTTTGATGAGACGGAGTTTATATATTAATAAGGGGTTAATTAATGTTATACCTAGTTTGTCTTTACTTTGATTTTTGCTTATTTCTTCAAATATGGCTGCTCCTCCTTCATTAAATTTGATGGGTGAGATTATGCTTATTAATAGAATTGTTGGTTTTAGAATATTTAATATATTTTTTTTAATATTAATTTCTTTTTTTGGGGCTGTCTATTCTTTATTTTTATATTCTTATAGTCAACATGGAATGGTCTATTCAGGTTTGTATTCGTTTTTTACTTGTAGGTTTCGAGAATTTTTATTGTTATCGTTGCATTGAGTTCCATTAAATTTACTTGTTTTAGTTGGGGATTTTATGGTTTTATGAGTTTATCTAAGTAGTTTAAATAAAATTTTGATTTGTGGAATCAGAGATATACTATAGTATTTTAGATAATATTGAATATTTGTTTAATTTATTTTTATTTTATAACTGTTTTTAGATTGATTTTGTTTTTTCTTAGAATTAATTTTATAATTTTGGATTTGACTTATTTTTTAGAATTTAATTTGGTTATGATTAATTCTTCATCGTTTGTAATGACTTTTATTTTTGATTGAATGTCTCTTTTGTTTATGAGTTTTGTATTGTTTATTTCTGGTATGGTTATTTATTATAGTCGTGAATATATAAGAGGAGATTTGTATTTAAATCGTTTTATTTTGCTTGTAGTTATATTTGTAGTTTCAATAATGTTGCTTATTATTAGTCCTAATTTAATTAGAATTTTATTGGGTTGGGATGGATTAGGTTTGGTTTCTTATTGTTTAGTTATTTATTATCAAAATGTAAAGTCATATAATGCCGGTATGTTAACTGCTTTAAGAAATCGAATTGGTGATGTTGCCTTATTGATGGCTATTGCTTGAATATTAAATTATGGTAGATGAAATTATGTTTTTTACTTAGAGGAATTGAAGGGTAGGTTTTATATATCTATAATTTCTTATTTGGTTTTGTTGGCTGCTATAACTAAGAGAGCTCAGATTCCATTTTCTTCTTGGTTACCTGCAGCTATGGCTGCTCCTACTCCTGTTTCTTCTTTGGTCCATTCTTCAACACTAGTAACTGCGGGTGTGTATTTATTGATTCGTTTTAATTTTGCTTTTAGAAATTATTTGATGTATTTGTTACTTTTTATTGCTATGATAACAATGTTTATATCAGGAATTGGAGCTAGGTTTGAATTTGATTTAAAAAAAATTATTGCTTTATCAACTTTAAGTCAGTTAGGGTTAATAATAAGTATTTTGGCGTTAGGTAGGTATAAGTTGGCTTTTTTTCACTTGCTTACCCATGCTTTATTTAAGGCTTTATTGTTTATGTGTGCTGGTAATGTTATTCATAATTTGGGGAATTGTCAAGATATTCGTTTTATGGGCGGGTTAGTAAAATTTATGCCTCTTACTTGTGTGTATTTTAATATTTGTAGTTTATCATTGTGCGGTTTACCTTTTTTGAGAGGATTTTATTCTAAGGATTTAATTTTGGAAGTAATATCAATAGGGTATTTGAATTTGTTTGTTTATTTAATTTTTTATTTATCTATTGGGTTAACAGTTTGTTATAGAGCTCGCCTTGTTTATTATAGTTGGGTGGGTAATTGAAATTTTTTTTCTTTAGGAAGAGTCTCTGATAGAGGGGTTGTTATGCTAAAGGGAATAAGAGGTTTAATTTTACTTGTTGTTTTTATGGGTAGGTTATTAGGTTGAATTATGTTTCCTTTTCCTTATGTTATTATTTTACCTTTTTATATAAAGTTAATGGCTTTAATTATAGTCTTTTTAGGAGCTTGAATTGGATATGAAATGTCAAAGTTTAATTTAAGTTATAAAAATATTTATGCGAATAACTATGGCGTTTCTTGGTTTTTATCAGGTATGTGAAATATGCCAGTGATTTCTACTTTTGGTGTAAATTATTATCCTGTTGTTGGAGGATCTGTTCTTTATAAAACATTTGATCAGGGTTGAACTGAATATTTCGGTGCTCAAAAAATTTATGGTTTATTAGTGAGGGGATCTTCGTTTGTTCAAATTTTAATGTATAATAGAATTAAAATTTTCTTTGTTTTGATGTTGTTTTGAGTTATATTATTACCTATGCTTTAACTTGGATAGCTTATATAGACCATGATATTGAAGATATCAGGGAAATTATTAAATTTTCAGGTATTTATAAATGTTAATTAATTTTACATTGAAAATGTAATGTTTTTTTTAAACTATATAAATAGAAATATAAACATGTTAATGCTTTTTATTAAGTTAGAAGCTTATTTTTGTATATTTCTTTAATTGGAACTTAGTTCAGTTTTATCATTAACAGTGATATACCTCTATTTTGGTTTCAATTAAAAATAAGGATTGTTAAAATCAGATTTTTAGGTCGAAACTAAATGCAATTCTTTGCTTCTTATTTAAGATAAATTGATTAGATCAATTATTTTTAAGTGCAAATTAAATGTTATTATTAACTATTATCCTAGTTTGTTCAGTTAAGAGCTCCTTGTTTTCATTCGTGATATAGTCCAATTAATAAGATTGCAATGAAAACTGATGTTGTAGTAAAATATGATATAAGAGAGTTTGATTTTAGAGTGATGATTATTGGCAATAAAAGAGTGATTTCTACGTCGAAAATTAAGAAAATAATAGCAATGAGGAAAAAATGTAGTGAAAATGGAAGTCGAGAGGAAGATTTGGGGTCAAATCCACACTCAAAAGGAGATCTTTTTTCTCGATCTGTAATGGTTTTTTTAGACGTTAAGTTTAGGACTATAATTAGAATGAGTGTGATTAGTCTAATAATTGTGGCTATAATGAATAGAATTTGGATTATTTATACTATTTTCTAGATCTTTTGATTGGAAGTCAAAAATAATTTTTATACTATATAAATATCTACCTCATCAGTAAATTGAAATGTAAAGGAATAGTCATACTACGTCTACGAAATGTCAATATCAGGCTGCGGCTTCAAATCCAAAATGATGAATTTGTGAAAAATGATTGTTAATATGACGAATTAAACAGACTAGAAGAAAGGTGGTCCCAATAATTACATGAATTCCATGAAATCCTGTAGCAACGAAAAATGATGAACCATACGCTGCATCTGAAATTGAAAATGAAGATTCATAATATTCGAATGCCTGGAGGGCTGTAAAGTATAGTCCTAGTACTACTGTTAAGGTAAGTCCTTGAGTTGTTTGTTTGAAATTATTTTCTATTAGTCTGTGATGAGCTCAAGTTACGGTTAGTCCTGATGTTAATAAAATTAATGTATTTAGAAGAGGGATTTGAGTAGGATTAAATGGTGTAATTCCCTTAGGTGGTCATAGTATACCAATTTCTACTGTTGGAGCCAGTCTGTTGTGAAAAAATCCTCAAAAAAAGGAAATGAAGAAAAATACTTCTGATGTAATAAAAAGAATTATTCCTCATCGTAGACCTATTGTTACTACATATCTGTGGTGGCCTTGAAAGGTTGCTTCTCGTGTAATGTCTCGTCATCATTGATATATAATTAATAATATTGAGGCAAATCCAATAAATAAAAGCGAGTTGTTATAAAAATGGAA